ATATAAAATTTTACAATATATATATATATATATATATATATGTTGTAAAATAGACATTCAAAGAATAAATCAATAAAGTTAATGTAACTCACTTCGCTAACCGATTAAATAAGGCATTAACTCACTGACTACTCACTGAACGACGCGATCCTTGTTTTTATTAATTGCACAATGGATTAGATATTCGGTCCATATTGTTTGCAAGTACTTTCGGTAAAAACATTTACTATCCTCAGGCAAAGATGTTATTTTTTTCTCAATGACAGATAATTTCGGTTAAAATTTAAAAAACGAAAATGAATGTGATAATCTCATCCATTGCACAATTAATAAAACAAGGATCGTATCGTTCAGCGAGTGGTCGATGAGTTAATGCCTTCTTAATCTGTGATCGAAATGAGCCTGCCATTAATTACGTTAACTTTATTGATTTATTCTTCGAATGACTATTTTATAGTATTAAGCTGCATTATATATATATATGTGTGTGTGTGTGTGTGTGTGTGTGTGTGTGTGTGTTTGTGTGTGTGTGCGTGTGTGTGTGTGTGTGCTCTGGCTCTTACAGCATCTAATATCACAGTATGGAATACCTACTTACAGAAGTGATAGAAAAAAACTCGGCTAGATTAAAAAAAAAAATTACAAAATCCCCGGCACCCCTCTATCGTGCGCATGCGTAATCCTAGCAGCATAACAAATTTAGTCCGATGAAATCGTGAAGAACGAAACGCGTCACAAGAAAACCTTTTTCCACTTTTTCCATATATCTTTATCTCATATATATACGATAGTTTTAAGGTATGCTATATTTAAATATATGATAGTTTAAAGTATGCTATAGTTAAAGTCCTCAATATCGAGGATTGAATATATGTAAATATCAAAGTGTACATTGAAGTCAACACTCGGAGTCGATAGCCTGTTTCATGCTAAACGCAATCGTCAGGCTTGCCGGTTGCATTTAGTATGAAACAGGCTGTTTTCACTCGGTGCGAGAGGAGAAAACTCGTACATCTTGCCATTTCAACTGTAAAATGATGAGACCTAGACGCCAATCTAGTACTGCGTTTAAATTCATAAAGTAGAGGTATCATAGAGGAAAATTCATTAGAACAATTACCGTGAAAGTATTTATAGAAAGGTACGTGAAGCTACATTACAACGGTGGGAAAGTGACTGAAGCCGAGATACCAGGTTAAGACCAATAATATTGCAGATTCTTCTTTGGATTTTATTAAGAATCTCTAAGTATATTGCAGGAGTTTCAGATCATGTGTAGCAGTAATATTCAAAGTTAGGACAAATGGTAGACTTATAACTTTGTAATATAGTTTTGAGCGAGAAATCTGTTTAACATGACACAGTGAACCAACTTTCCGAGTATCAGACATAGTAATTGATTCAATATAATCTTTCCACTTCATGACAACAAAGAACGTGAGCCAGAGAAGTTGCAATGTGTCATTAAACTGCAGATTATCATCCGCCATGTTGTTGGAAGACAGAAACCTTTATTTCAGATGATTAGAAGATAGCATTTTCGTTTTCGGGAAGGTTAAAATTTACAAATTTAGTTTGTAATACATTTTTTTTTTCTCGGATCAGTATCCATTTTGATTTTATCGGACTGATCAGACTTACTATTTAGCCTGAAGTAGATAATTGCGCCATCAGCATATATATCGATTTGAGAACTGATGCATTCAAGAAGGTCGTTTAAGAACGTTAGAATCAACGCAGGTCCAAGGGTAGAGCCCTGGGGAACACCTACATTGATGCGAAATGATCTAGAAGAGTAGCCATTCAAGACAACCTTCCTTTTGCGATTTGATTAGAAAGACTTAACCAGTTCAAAGATTCCTCCAGAAATACCATAACCTTTCAACTTGCAAAGAAGACCGGCATGGCAAAGCCTGTCAAATGTTTTCGAGATATTTAAAGCAACAAGTCGAGATCCACCAACCTTATCTGATAGACTTTTTCAATAATAATCGTTAATACATTAACAGTTGACTCAGAGTAGCGAAAGCTTATCTGACTGAAGATCCTGCGGGGTGAGATGCTTAACCAATTCAGAACTTTGCCAAAAAACGGTAAAAGGTGAGTAGGCCGATAGAAAGATCAGGGGGTTAACCTGAGTTCTTAAAAACTGACACAACAGAAGAGGGTTTTTAACAAGAAGTAAAGCAAGAAGCAACAAGGTTAAGATTGCGAGTATCAGACATAGTAATTGACATAGTAATAGGTGAATCTATTGAAGAGTTTTTTTTTAGAGAACAGGAGCCAGTTCAGGAGCATATTTCTTAAGGACTATTGCAGGAATGCTATCAAGTCCACATGCTTTGTGAGGATCCAGTTTAAAGATGATAGCAGAAACCATAGACGTATATATATATATGCATATCACTCAACAGAGACTCAGTTCTAAGTGAAATGTCAGACAAAGATACTCAAGATTAGTCAAGGGTAGAATTCAAAGAGAATTTACAAGCAAAAAATTCTGCTTTATGAGAAGATGTTAATACCTCAAATTAAGTGAAGTGAGAAGGAATATAAAACTTATTATATTTAAAACACTATTACACAGCCGCCAGTTGTCACGAGAACCAAATTTGTTAGAGACTAGAAGGTGTCTCATTCTATCAGCAAACAATAATATTGCCTCTTTGACGACACGTTTACAATTATTATGAGCAATCACAGAAAGGCGTCTGTTGTGATCGGAACTATCACGCTGGTCCATCTGGAAAAAGTGATACCAGTGGGCTATAGCGGCTGAATAGGTCACTGTAAACCAAGAAGAGGAGTGTGCTTTCACCTTGTATTTCCGAGAAATTACGAAGACGTCAATACCGGCTTTAAGCCAAAAAGAAACCTTTGTGGCCCGGGAAGGTTAAAAATATCAATCCAAACGGCATCTCGGATAAAGTCACGAAATTTATCTCAAATCAGTTCGTTGGTAACAGATCGAATTCTTTTGAATAGGTGGGTCATTTCTAAATGACAGCTAAAAAAAAAGAAGTATCAGAGATACTAGAGCGTGATTCTTTTTGGTTGCAAGGGGTGCAACGTTGGCACAAGAAATTCTTGTAAAACATCAAGATACTTCAAATGAATGCAATAAACTGTGGTACCTCTACAACCAATTTATGGACCCCTGCATTTCAAACAAACAATGCTCAATTGATAAGTAAATAATATTAATAAGGTCAAATACTCGTGCAAGAAACAAAACAAAAATAAATAAAAGCCTTATCTTTTTTTTTTTTTTTTTTTAAGCATTTCACCCCAAGCAAGGCGGGAAGCCACTAGGACGCAAGGGGTTACAGAAAGTATAGAGCAAGATCAGATAGGAGTGATAGAAGAAAGGATGAGAGTAGTGGCTAAATCAAGGCAACTGGAGATGTCGATTGACATTACACTTGAATAGAGATTATAGCTCACAGGGAAACAGGAAAAGGGAAGGGAGTTCCACAGGCGAGAAGTGCGATACATGAAGCTATTAGAGTAGAAGAGACGGCTATATTTAGGAGTTTCGATAGTGAAGGGGTGAGAGCGGGATGCCAGCCTCGTGAGGCGCTGGAACTAAGAAAGAAATAATAAATGAAAGGGTAGAAATCTGCTGAAAGAGCGAATGTTGATTTTTTTAATTGCTTAGTCGTGGCACAATGCCACCCAATGAGGATCGAGATCACAACTCAGTAGTAAATGATCTAGCGAGACAACGTTGCTACGCCGGAGTGCCCATTTCTAAACGTAGCTTATATGTAGCACAAAGCTGAATGTATGGGGTACCCAGTGAGGGTCGACGTCACAACTCAGTCGTAATTTATCTAGCGAGACAAGCCTGTTAACCATTAAACCAGGTCGAAGTGGTTAAATGATTTATTAAGAGCAGCTCACTTGTGGCAAATAGCAGTTTGTATGGGGCACCCAGTGAGGATGGAAATCACAACTCAGTGGTAGTTGATCTAGCGTGACAAGCTCGCTAGCCATTAACAACACATCAAAGAGCCGCTTTCTAAGCTAGGCTAGGATGTGGCACGAGATCGGAAGTATAGAACACCCAGTGAGGATCGAACTCATTACTCAATCATTACTTGTTTTAGCACGACAAACTTGTTGACCATCACATCACGACAAAGTGTACAAATTATTTTCTAAGCTACGCTTAGATATGGCACAAAGTCGAAAGTATGGGGCACCCAGTGAGGACCCAAGTCACCACTCTGTCGTATTTGAACTAGCGAGACGAGCTTGTTGAAAATTGCAGCACATCGAAATGCCTCAAATGATTTTATAGGCTTAACTTAAATGTGGCACAAAGCCGAAAGTATGAGGCACCCAGTGAGGATCGAACTCACTACTCTGGTATTTGTCCTGGCGAGACAAGCTTCAACATCACGTCGAAGTCACTGAAAAAAACAAATGAATGTATGAAAAGGATGTGTCTAGACCATTTTGATTCAATGTTCCAAGGTCGATATTAATCGGACTTCATGGGTCATAACTCTTGTCGATTGTTGAACCCATAAAACAATCCGAACGCCAGCAGATATTATTTTATTGTAGTGAAAAAAAAAAATCTTTACCATTCAAGATTTATTTTTTTTTCGTGCAAATCCTCCCACTTGTATCGCTTAAGAATTGGTGGCGGTGGTTGGTTGAAGAACTTCTCCACCACTTAAAGAAGCTGCAAATGTTTCCTCTTTTATAGCCCAACAATTTGTACTTCAGGCTATTAACAAAACTCAACTACGATAGCTAAATAAAATAAAATTAATAACAAAATGCTCGGGTTTATTGTTGAACGGTGTATCAGAAAATCAGAGATCAGGGAACATAATGTTTATTACGCAGAATCCATTTAACGAAATTCGAATAAATTTCGAAAAATGAAGAGGATCTTAAATCATAATTGTAATGTTGGAGTTAATCAAGCAAGGCCTACTCTCACTTAAGGGGCTGCCTTGGGTTCGAATCTCCAACAGGGCGGTTTACGACCTCAGTACATTGAAACACCAGTTTCCCTACAAGCACCGAAGTTAAGCAACGTCGAGACTGGTCAGTACGTAGATGGGTGACCGCATGGGAATACCTGCTATTGTAAGCTTGATATGGATTACGGTCATATAGCGTTGAAACAAGCATCGAAGTTAAGCAACGTTGAGACTGGTCAGTACGTAGATGGGTGACCGCATGGGAATACCTGCTATTGTGTTTGATATGGATTACGGTCATATAGCGTTGAAACAAGCATCGAAGTTAAGCAACGTTGAGACTGGTCAGTACGTAGATGGGTGACCGCATGGGAATACCTGCTATTGTAAGCTTGATATGGATTACGGTCATATAGCGTTGAAACAAGCATCGAAGTTAAGCAACGTTGAGACTGGTCAGTACGTAGATGGGTGACCGCATGGGAATACCTGCTATTGTAAGCTTGATATGGATTACGGTCATATAGCGTTGAAACAAGCATCGAAGTTAAGCAACGTTGAGACGGGTCAGTACGTAGATGGGTGACCGCTTGGGAATACCAGCTGTTGTAAGCTTGATATGGATGACGGTCATATAGCGTTAAAACAAGCATCGAAGTTAAGCAACGTTGAGACTGGTCAGTGCGTAGATGGGTGACCGCTTGGGAATACCAGCTGTTGTAAGCTTGATATGGCTTACGGCCATATAGCGTTAAAACAAGCATCGAAGTTAAGCAACGTCGAGACTGGTCAGTACCTAGATAGATGGCGGCTTGGGAATACCAGCTGCTGTAAGCTTGGATATGCGGTTGGTATGGTTTACGGTCATATAGCGTTGAAACACCGATTCCCCTACAAGCACCGAAGTTAAGCAACGTCGAGACTGGACAGTACCTATATGGGTGACCGCTTGGTAATACCAGCTGTTGCAAGCTAAGATGTAGTGTTGGTATCCATGTAGCGTTGAAACACCGGTTCCCGTACGAACATCAAAGTTAAGCAATGTCGAGACTGGTCAGTAACTAGATGGGTGACCGCTTGGAAAAACCAAGCGCTCTAAGCTTAAATGTGCGGGTGGTATAATGGATAATGACTCGGAATTTTAATCGGAAAGTATCGAATTCCAATCCAGGTTCGTTATATTGACTTACGCACAAATGCCCTTGGGAAAGGTATGAATTCGCTTCTTCTACCCGCCCCAGGAAGAGGTTAATTAGTAAGACAAGTATAAAAAAAAATTAAATCTAAAATATTTTCTGGCTTTAATTTGACCTACAAAGGGTTGATAATCTGTAGAAAATCAATCAATCTATCGAACATGGAAATATTTCAAATGCTGATATGACACAATATATATATATATTCATTCAACCGTAGTCGGGATAAGCAAGACAATGCGAACGATCCTTTCTTTAGCTGTATAGTATATGTTACGCCACAGCTACTTACAGTTTTGAATTCAGAGTTATTTTCTCCTAGACCGTTTGCCATTCATGGCTATAGAACCCAGTCTGTTCTGCTATTTTACCCATAGCTGAGGTGGAGGGAGAAGAAGATGATTCCTACATTTCACAAGGGTATTAGCACGTAAGTGGACCTAATGGATTCGACTCTTGGGCATTTGTTTCTCAAAGTAGCGATTCATGTGAAAAAGCTGTTCGAATGGGACTTTCATTTTTACAAATGGAATATGAAGCGAAGTGGGATGGCCATCGTTGTCCACCCAAAAAAACATGTCATTCATAAAAGTGAATGTCAGTGATTGAAAATATTCCGATATTGCTAGAAAAAAAATATTCCGATATTGCTAGAAAAAAAATATTCCGATATTGCTAGAAAAAAAATATTCCGATATTGCTAGAAAAAAAAAAACACTGAAAGAACAACCAAAGTTATTTTAAGAAAAATAATTATTTGCAAGACGTTCATGAATAGTAAAGAGATCTTCAGCAAGCCAATCAATTCTTTTAGATTTTTAAAAAATCATTTCACATCAATAAATGGCGATAAAGTCACTGGGATGTAGCGAGTTACAGGGTGTGAAAGAGATTGAGAAGACTTTAGTGAAGAGAAGTGAGGGAAAGGACAATAAAAGAACGGGGTTCAGGAAGAGAGAAGATGACGAAGGATGTTGTATTTACTTTTTTGAAGATTGTAGATGGCAGGGAAGCAAGTAATCGGAAAGAAGCTCCACAGGCGAGAAGTGAGAGAAAAGTAACTCTTAGGATAGAACATGCGGTTGAATCTAGCTGGTTCAATAGTAAAACAGTGAGACCTAATTGCCAATCTAGTGGGACATATAAATTCATGCAGTCGAGGCATTCATCGGAACAATTTCCAAGGAATTATTTGAAGAAAAGACAGAGGGAAGCCACTTCACGTCTGTGAGAAAGTAACTGAAGTCGAGATGCCAGCTCAGGATTGATTACATTACAGACCTTCTTTTGAATTTTGTCAAGATTCTGTCACTTTCTCTCACTCTCTATGCCCCCCCTCTCTCTCTCTCTCTCTCTCTCTCTATGTCTCTCTCATATACTATCTATCTATCTATCAGAGTTTTAAATGCCAGCATTTAAGTTCTTATAAAGATTAAATTGTTAATACTTTGTCGGAGCTGTCAGACTTGCTACTAAGACAGAAGTAAATAGCCGTGTCATTTGCATAGAATTACCAAGTATTCTAATAGAACTGAAGGTAAACCTGTCTGTTGTAGCATACCTACTAATAATGAGTATGTCCCCATTCACATAAATACAGTAGTTAATACTGTATGTTGGTCTGCAGTTGGAGATTCATTGTGGAATTCACTTGACTCACTTCTAGCAGTTGACTACTTCTACGCGCCACTGGCGAATCTTATAAGTATTATCCCCATGTCGAAGGGCAGAGTTTCGTCTCGAGAAAACAGCTACCCGACCCCGTTTTATACGGGGTCTTACGGGGAATTTTTAGCCGAGATTACGGAGTCGGAAACCCCACATTAAATTCGGCCTTGTGTCACATCACACCGTGTGGGGCGGTTGGTAGATATCCTGCAGTTGGAGATTCGTCTCTAGCTGTGCTGGTCAAACTCTCCGCTTCCGGACAGAGAGAATCCTCAGACGAGGCTATGTCGAAGGGCAGAGTTTCGTCTCGGGAAACAGCTACCCGATCCCGTTTTATAGGGGGTCTACGGGGAATTTTTGGCCGAGACTACGGACTTAGATACCCCACAGTAAATTCGGCCTTGGGCCACATCTAACCACGTGGGACGGTTGGTAGATATACTAAAGTTGGAGATTCATTGTGGAATTCACTTGACTCACATGTAGCTTCTACGCGCCGCTGGCGAATCTTATATGTAAGTATTATCGTTCATTACCAACCTTCGTGTGATTATTCTATTCAGTAACCTTCCCTAAGTTACAACAGATACCTAGTTAGCAACAGATGACATTGGGAAGGTCGTTGATGGAGATCAGGAACCGCGTATTTCCGAGGACAAAGCCATAAGGCACCTCTGCATAAATATGAAACTAACTAGAAAATTGTAACAATATCTCAACAACGCCGGACATTTTTGGAATGTATATTTTGCGAAATCCTTTCAAACGTTTATAACCATTTTTTTTCTCGTCTTTTCATTTTCTTTTATGTCTTCATCTTACTTTTGTCTTTTAGATTGGGTAGAATCCAGCCGTGGGGTCAAGAAGTTTGAATTTGATGTACACTCAATGACCTGGCTATTCCAGACTGGCAGGAACCAAAATCAGTGATAGGGTGAATACAGGACTGGTTTGGCGCCAACTGCGACTGTGTTTAACAAATCCTACCATATTCGATTCTTGCTTGCTGAATAGTTCGCATTCAGTCAAAGACATGTTGGTGCCAATGGCTCTTTGTTAACATGCGTCGCAATGGCGATGCCAAACGCACGGCTATTGTTTTCTAAAAGACTCCACACCATTCTTTATTTTCTAAAAAGACTCCACAACATTCTCCATTTTCTAAAAGTTTCTACATTATCACCATTCAAGCTCCAGGTCGCTTGAATCGAATCATAACCTTTTGGGGTATCAGCGATTTGAATTTTCCAGTTACCCCTTTCCCAACTGTCTTGCAATGACAAAGTCCAATTTATCAAAGAGACGGAATTATAAATAGGTTCTCATGTTTCAAAAAAATGCATGTTTTTTTTTAAGGAAAAAGACACCCAATAATATGATCTTCCTAAATCCTGAGAATCGTTTAAAGTGCTTCGACCATTTTCCGAGTGGAAGGGCTTCTCAGCTCGTTAAATAACGAACTGATGATCTTTTAAGATATGGTAGTTGTAAATGTAATATTAGCCGTCTCCTTGCAAGAAAAAAATCAGCATGTAGGAACCAAGCAGCCAGTGTTATATTCGATTGAAATTTATAAAATCTTTCTATTAATACAAAAGTTCAAGAAAATAGGTCTTTTAATTCCACAAACTGATATATCACTTCCCACTTTTGATGGCAGGAGGTGGGAGGGATATCTTCATTTCTAAGCCTTTTTTCGAAGTAGTCTGGAATGTCAGCATCTTGATTATAGACTCAATTCATAATATTATCCTAATAGTTAGCAAACTTGATTATAATTTAATTCTAGCTTCGTGTTATATAGGAATAAAGTGTCGCTGCCGACACTGTAGTTTGAACACAAATCTCCAGAGAACAAATACAAGTGATCCCAATTTGAATAAATAGATGACGTGATGGTAAAGGAAATGTATATATGGGAATTAGCGTGGCGTCTGATTGATCACTCTTCCTGCGCTATCCTCTATCTCTAGACTATTTCTATACTATTTCTCTATAATGATCACTATACTGATCACTATACGGTGGTTACTTTTCGAGCGAGAATTATCGAGCAAGTACTATTAGTGCGAGTGCTATTCGAAGGCGTCTGACGCCAGTATTGTTCAACGGCGTTACGATAGTTGCATCTGCGATTACAAAGTCTCTACTACAATGTGTCTTACGAAATTGATAACGAGTATTCGTTGACAATAC